CGACGTCCCCTCCATTTTTCATCCGTGCGCCGCGTCCGTTTCCCTTCCTCTGATTGCAAAAGAAGGTGCGGAGTCTCAATCCCATTGTCTTCCCGCCCTCGACGACGATTCGAAAAACGCATTGTTTCTTTTTTCGACTTCCTCCCGTGGCGGACTCGACGATCGCGACTGACTGAGGGGGGCGTGCTTTTTTGTCTCACTGAGATCCGACGTGGGTTTTAGCTCGCGATATCTCGACACTGCTGGACGGATTTATCTTTTTTTTGACGATCGGGTTAACGAGCGAGGCGACTGCGTGTTGAGTGAGGTGAACGAAACGGCGCCAGGCAGGATCAAACTCGCGCACACACGCGACGTGCCTAATCGACCTGGCAGCTGAGAGCTCTCACCAACCGACCTTTGCGACCTCTCATCTCTCACTCATCCACATACAACACGCTAAACCACAACCCGTCAACCACTCTTACAACATACACATCACACACAAGGAAAAAATGTCAGCACCATACTACACCCCCCAACGCCCCTACTTTTCCCCCTCAAACCACCCCTCCGCATCCTCCTCCACCTCCACAACACGCGCCGGCGGCAGCGGCGCATCGGGGGCAACGGGAGCACCCTCCTTCACACCCGCCATGCGCGACCGCCAAGCGCGCGGGAAAGACCCCTACTCGCCGCACGACAGCCCCTCGGACTCGGATCTCGAGTTTGAAGGCGGGGCCGGGGGTTCGCCTTCGGGGGGCGGCGGCGGGGTGGGTAGGTTGGGACACCTCGGTCCCGGGGCGGGACATCACGGCGGCGGCGGTGGTGGGATGTTAGCCGGGGGAGGTGTGGGCGATGGTGATTCGCATGAGGTCAGGAGAAGGAAGCTTTGGGCTGTCGCTGTGCTTGAGGATCCGGAGAAGTTGGCCATGTACGCGTGTAGTCGCGGAGACGTAAGTACCTTTCCCCTTTTCTCCCCCCCCTTTTTTTTTTCTTTCGATCCGTCTTTCTCATTCCATGTTATATCGCGCACCAAACTGACGTCCTTTGCAGAGCATCCCCGGCACCCGCCTCCACTTCACCCGCATGCTCTGCGGTTTTGACGAGGAGCCGATGCACCGGCAGCAGTCGGACCACCGCAAGGCGTCGGCGTCGTCGTCTTCGGCGCGGCGGGATCCGAGGCGGCGGAGCGCTGGAGGGGACCGGATGGGTCGTCATTGAAATCGGGCCACGGGCTGCATGGCACTTTCCTTTTTACCCTGTGACGGCCTCTGACGTATGATACGACACTCTTTGACGCGCGGTTTGCGGGATTACGGAGTTGGGATTTTGATCTTGGAATTCGGGGGGGATTCTGTTAGGAGGGAATGGTATCTTTGCGGGAAATCAGCTTGCTCTGCCTTGACGTTTGTCTCGTGGACATTCTTGACGTGGCCGGGGGGGGAACATCCCTCGGCTGTAGTGGACGAGGTTGGCCTCAAATCGAGGCACATGAGGAAGAAGAGAAATAGCACGGCGTAATGGAGTTACGGAGTCATCATCACGTCCTGCATCCTCAAATACACATTCTCTCGAGTCAGACAAACTGCAATGGGTCCACATCACGACTGAATACCAGCCAAAAGTTCTCAGTACGTGAAACGTCAATGTGAAAAAGGGATCGTATGTCGGTCTCCCGCTGGTATCCGCACCGGATCAGCCAGCTGACCTTATAGAAGCTATGTAATTCTCTCTCTCTCCCCTCTGCCGTTCTCTAGGTAAGCTAAGGTCAGGCCAGGTTTATCCTACGAGTAAGTATACAACCCTAGGCCTCTCTCTGGTCATCATAATTACACGAAATGGCAATCCCGTCTAGATGAACAGGTTTGCCGTGGTTCCAATGTGCAATCGTCGAAGCTCCCCCCAAGATGGAATTTGAATCCAAAAGGGGGGCAGTAATAATAGTAAATGAAAACAAGAAAAAAGCACCGCCAACGCCGAGTAATGCAATGGTCTAGAGTAATATCCAACTCGTCCCGTCCTGTATATTCCCTCCTTGAGCTGTCCCAGGTCACACCGCATCTTTAGGCGTACCTGGCGCTCTGAGTCCTGTTCATCTCCCAACCTCCGTTCTGGTAGGGGTCACCGCCATGATAAGGCGGAGGCGCGCCGGGCCGCGTAGCAGCCGGCGGTGGCGGAGGAATGTTGGGATTACTCCACGCGCCCCCGTAGCTGTTCCACCCGCCATTGTGCGCCATCGCCGGCACGGGCACGGGTTTGAGACGCTTAGCTCTTTGCCGGCTCCTGCTCCGCCGGCACGCGCCGCAGATGCAGCTAAACAACACAATGAGGACCAGGAGGCCGACGACGATGACGACGGGGATGAAGATGCCCTTGTTGTTTTGGATCCAGTCCATGATCTCGGTGCCGGCGTTGGCGCCCTGGCAGACGCCGTTGGAGCACTTGCCGCCGCCCGTGCACGACGTGCCGTCGAGGAAGTTTTGGTTCATCGTCACGCAGGCGCCGTTGCCGATGCTGGGGACATTGCAGGAGATCATGCAGTCTGAGCTGCCGCTGTTGCAGGAGGTTACCGATGTGGAATTGGTTCGCGATCCCCAGGCGGTCTTGCACTGCTGATCACGAGAGGTGCACTGTCCAGAGGCGCAGGTGAGGCCCTCGCCAGAGTTACCGCAAGAATCACCGTCAGCCTTGTGCTCGTCGCTGGGACACGTTGATGATGAGCCGCTGCAGGTCTCCTGGGGGTCGCAAGAACCGGTGCTCGTTCTGCACACGGTACCGTTGGAAGCGAACTGGCACTGGCCGTTGCAACAGTCCTCGTTGGCGGGGTCGCAGACTGATCCGGTGGTGAACTTGCACGTCGTGGGGTTGCAGCACCTGTTGCTGCCACAGCCAGAGGTTCCACCGCAGTCGCAGTCCTCGCCAGACTCAACAATGCCGTTACCACATTGGCTTCCGGTGATGGTGTTGACATTTCGGTTGTTCGTCAAGCAAGACGACTTGACCTGGTTACGGAGAAGACCGGAGCAAATGTTACCGATACTGCAAGGAGAGAATGCTCTGATACCGGTGCCGGTCGACGGGTTCATAATGTAAGAACCACCCGCATTACAGGTGCTGGAGCTCAGGGGGCAGCACCGCTGCATGTCGGAATCGCCATTGCTGCAAGTGTCGGAAGTGCAGTCGTGTACGGCACCAAAGGTGTGGCCGACCTCGTGAGCGATAACCTGCCACTCACTTGGCGTTTGAATCACTACGTTGGCTGACGCGACCGTCTCATTGTTACTGCCGCTGCCTGATGTCTGGGCTCCATCGGTGCAGGCCTGTCCCAACCACGCCAGGCCAACAGCGGAATCGGTGCCGCAGGTACTCAGGAGCGTCCAGAAGGCGTTGTCATCGTTGGACTTACCACGCCACGCCGAGAAGAGATTGAGACGATCGGTAATGGTGACGCTGTTACTGCATGCGACGTTCCACGGGGCGGTCGAGCTGGCCTGTCCAGGGCAGTTGGCGTCGCTGATTGTGAGATTCTGAATGCCGAGTGAGATGTTGAATGTGCTCTCGTACACCTCGGAAGCGGCGTTGATCACATCGATGATGTTCTGCCTGACAGCCTGCGTTGAGTTGAAGGCGGCGGTGTAAGTGCAGTCCGTAGCAACGCCGAGGAGGGCGATCTTGCGCGTCGTCGGGCATCCGTTGGTTTGTCCGATGGTGGAGACGAGGTTGACACCTGCGCCGTTGTTACCGGTGCTGCCGTCAATCTGCCTGCCGAAGATGTTGCGTCCGAAGAGAGAGTTTGATGGCACGGACTGCAGAGGTTCGGTATCCCGCGCGTCAAAGATCTTGTAGTCAGTGTTGAAGTCCAAGCTGTCCGAGTTGCATGAAGACCGGCCGAAAATTTCCCGCTTCTTCTTTAGATCCTCACGGTCGGTCCAGTATTCGATAATATCCGAGTCCCTCCAGACCACCATGTACTCGTCGGGATTCCGACCCTTGCCCGGAGCGTCGGGGTCCTCGCGGTGCTTGCGCGCATGGTAGTTGGTTCCGGTCTGGATTCGGTGGTGGTCGTCGTCGATGCGGAAAGCGCCCTCGAAAATGGGTTCCGCGCCGTCTCGGTGTACCGTGATTCGAGCCCATCCAGCATGCCTCCAGTCGTTGGGGCTTCCCTCGTGGCGTACGAATGCCTTTCCCCTGAATACCCGGTGCTCTAACCTGTCGACAGTTTCTGTGGTGTGGATCTTGCCGTCGTGGCCCATGTAATTCACTTGGAGATTGTTGTGGAGAATGTCATCGTTCGGTTCCAGCGCAAGGCGTATTTCCTGTTGCTTGTCGTGTAGAGAAAAAGTGAGATCGAAGTGCGAAAGGGCGTGGCAGTGTTGTGAAGGGGAGTGGAAAACGGCATCTTCGAGGATGGTGACATAACTCAGCGGGTTGCGCTGTGTCGAGTGTGCTGTTCGCCGTCGTCAGTACGCCTCGCAGTACACCATCACTTTCCAAATACATACTATAAACACTCTGGGGAAGAGCCGCGAGGCCGGCAAAGGCGGCAGCTATGGTCCTGAAGGAAACCATGGTTTGTGGTGGTGTCCCCGCAAACGGGGTGAGGCTCAGAGAGGCCTCTCAGTTGTGGTGTTGCGTAAGCCTCTCGAATAGGGGAGATTGAGAGAGAGGAAGAGGGCCGGTTTGCGATCGTCTTAAACCACTGTTGTGCCCACGTCGCACCGCGTTGTCCCGGGTGGTTTCCAAAAAAGAGCAAATACACACACGAAGACGATGGGATGACGAACGAAAAAGGTAACCAGACGGACAGCAAAGTAATAAAACAAGAATGAACGAATGGAGAGTGGTGGACGGGGAAAAGAAGGTGGAAAGTCCGGGTGCTGGCGGCCGTTCGACGGGTGACGGAAGAGGAGAGAGCGCCAGTGCTCAGGAACTTGCGGATGTGGGATTCCTCGGGGGGCGTGTGGCACACTGCAGAGTGAGAGTCCACTACAAAGTGCCAAAGAGTGTGCGAGTGTGAGATGAACGGTGGATTGCGCAACACGATCTCTTGGTACGGGGGCGTGGACCAACTGTATTGGAGCTCGAGAGGTGCTGTGGATTCCACAGGCGGGCTGGGCGACGTCTTGGTAACTCTTGGCCTAGTGCTACTCGGCGACGCGGCAGTGGCAACGCCAATGTCCAAGTATCCTCGTGGGGGCTGGGACAATGCAAGCTGTGCAAAGTACCCGTAGCGTCCGTAGCGTCCGTAGCGTCCCTGGCAACCAACCCGGTTTTTGTGTCTGTATGTACGGAGTACCCGTACAGTGGTTTCTCTCGGTTTGTCGTGTTGAGTACGATGCAAGAGAGAGAGAATGGAAATAAACGACAGTCCCAAAAGGGGTGGTTGGGTCGGGTGAGTGAGAATCAAGGTTGCGGGATGGGCTCTATTGTGGCTCTGCACACTCTTTTCTCTCCCCTCTAGACTCCTGACTGGCTGGTGGTGTACCTTTCTCCAGGACCGGGGGAGGAGGAGAAGAAGAAGTCTACTGCGTAGGTACTGTACGTAGTACGCAGTGGAAGGATGTCAGGATGGAGAATGGTTCGGATTTTGTGTCCCTGTTTCACTGTTAGTTGCTGACAACCTTTTGGCAACGGAAGCCGCAAATGCCAATTAATTCTGCGACCCGGTCGATCCCCCATCGACCCCGAGCCCATGGACGCCAACACGGGCGCTACGCTGGACGCTGCGCTTGCTTCGCTCGCTCTCGTGATCTATCCCAGGCACTTGGGCTAGCTTGTCACTGACACCAACACCCCGGATAGGAATTAAACGAGAGGAAAATGGGCCACGAAAGAAAAAAAAGAAGAAAGGCCGAAGAACCCGCCGCCCGTAGCCTGATTCCGGTCCAGCCAGAAAAAAACCACTGACGCAGAAGCCGGCATCGGGGCTTCTGTATACTTCGTAATGTCTGCGCTATAGTTCATCTCATGGCGCTGACCGACATATGCACGCAATGATTCAGGCTCATGCAAATATAGGAAGACTGCAAGAAAGGGGGGAAAAAAAAAAGCTTCGTTCCAACATACCTCTTCGATGCCGACACCAAGTGGGATGCGGGTGCGTGCGTTGCGTTGCGTTCGTAGGCTGTAGCGAGAGGGGAATCCCGGCGTCAAAAGCCAAGATGCTCCTTTCCCGGGGATCTGACACTGTCCTCGTCTGAGCTGAGGCACGAGGAGACCTAGGAGGGCCGTTGGAGTCCAAGTCCCGCGAATACCTGCTCCAACTCCCGTGAATGTAGAGGGGGCCGATGGCCTAGCAAGGCAATGGAGCCGATGAATGGAGGGGGGAAGGACTGGACGTGATGGGATGAGATGGCAGCCCTGGGAAAGACGTATCGGGCTGAGCAATTGGCAGCGTGTCAGCGGTTTCTCTGAGGATTCTCCTGCACATGCACATACAATGAGTGGTGGTGTGTTGGGTTTCCCTTCCCTCGACAGAGGGGGATCCCTACTTTACACAGAGCTGTGTAATCGTGGGCTATTCTTAGCCGTGCTGTTATAGACAGAATACGTACCTTTTTCCGACGTTGGTGGTGGTTTTTCCCTTCCAGATTCCCCAAAGGCCCAAACCCTTGGCTCCAAGTTGCGACCTTTTTCCCGTTGTGTGTTTCAGAGCCCAATGGAATGGCACGCTGGGCCAGGTAGACTGCAAAATAGGGCGCTTTCTCGGCCAATGGCAACTGCCTCACCCTTGGGAAAGGGTTTCGTCGAGAAATGATGCTGGCAATAGCAACCCGAGTGAGGGGGGTTCTTCAAGCCTTTATTCAAGTTTGACGTTTTGACGGGGAGCTTAGGAGAAATGTCGAGATCTCTATTGTGTATAGCCTCAAGGACAAAACGCACAATCTGGTCTGATCCGTCCAGTGGTGCATGCATCCACGATGATTTAAGTATTTTTCTTCTATTCTCCCCGAAATCTTGGAATGTTCTCCGATTCTTTGACGGAATGGAATCTGTGGATCATTCAATTGCGCCGAGATACCACTATCATGCTCATCACTTTTTCTTGGCTTCCTTCTCTGCCACTCTTTACCCAACGGTAAACGCTTTCCCATCTGGCGAGATGGGCCATTTCCTTCAACCTCCCCCCGCCCGCGCGCGTCGGATGGGACGGTCTTGGTGCTTGGGTTGTGTCCTACTTGCTTGTTGTTCTGCTACTACCAGTCCGGTGTCCCCATTCACCACCGAAAAAACGAGTAAGCTTATTGAAGCTTACGTCTCCCTTCCCCCCTCTCTATACACTGGGTCCCTGACTTTCGGGAGGCTGAGCAGGGCTTGGCTTAGAGTTCTCTGACGGAGCCAACTCTGTCTCTGGGCCCGGGGACTGCGTGGTTCGGGACCGCTAAACCTAACTGGTCTCTCTTTTTCCTGATGTCACTCATCTTTCACCTGGAGGTTTCATTTTGCTGCTTCTTCTTCATAAAGTATCAGCAAGAGAACGCTTCTAATACACCTAGGCACGCACCCGAGACAGCTTGGTTCGATACGAATTGCCAGGCAGCTCCAATCTCCAGGGTCTCAGGCGAAGTAGTATTGGAAGTTATACATACATTCAGAAGAAACCCCAGAGTTGATTAAACCTCCCGCGTACAGGGACGGCATGGGAATGGATGACAGAGTTCAGAAACTCAACACTCCCCCTCCCCGCTATCGACCGAACCAATCATCCATCCTCATCTTACACCTTGGCTTTTCACCAGGGAAAAACATCAGACGGCCTAGATTTCTAGAGCAACCATTGGCATCAACACCGCCTTTCCCTAATGTCCATCTCTCTACACAGCCCGCGCTGGTCAGTAAGTCAGTCAGTCGAAAGGGTCGGATTTAAGCCTCTGGTCCTCCGCCGATGCCGTGCAGTACCGCCGCACTCACGCAGCGTGGAAAAAAAAAAAAAAAAAAACAAGCACATCCAACTACTTACACTAGCACAACTTACATCTCGGCGCCCCCCCCCCCCCCTCATGAGGATTGCGCGTCAGACCCCATCCTGTGGTGGCTTTGCTTTCTGCATGCACAAGAAAAAAAAGCCAAACGAAACAAAACAAGTTCTTCTCTCGACCAACCATTTCGTTTCTGAACCCTCTTGCTTGCTGAATAATCGATAGCCATTACCAAAAGTCGGTGGAGATGGATAGTGCCCTTTCACAAGTATCCGAACTGGATATCTCACCTTACCTGACCTTATCCAAGGAGGCCTCCTCCATGTTATGTTCCCTGTCTTCCGAGAGAATCCAACCTTTTTTTCCCCCCACACGCATCAGGGTATCAAATTACCTCCGAGCAGTTCACGGCACCTGAGGCCGCCGCATCTTTGGACGCCAAGTCCACGGGGGGGAACGTCTCGCCTGCTAGGACGGACTCCTCAGGAGTCTAGCCTTGATTTCTTGGCCCGAACAGGTCGATCGTGGTTCTTGGGTTTCCGTCTCCGTCTGATCGTCATCTGATACTTTCTTGGACAGTATGTAGAAGCCAGAACGATGGGAAGTGACGGAAGCTGCCTTCTTCCGGAGTACTCTATCATGATCCATGACCACTGCTCCGTGCCACATGGATCATAATTGTAGGTACGCTGCCATGTAGGAAAGAGTTGATATTGGAGCCAGTGTATATCGTGATTTCTTGACTACTGCTACAGTTTCACTTACACATTTACCCACGTGATCATTGTCCCGTTGGACAACCTTCGTCCACACAGATCGTGGCCTGATGATAATTTGTCGGTGATATACAAAACTGGCAAAGCTCATGATCAAGAAGATGTGTAAGAAACTCCCATTCTTTCACCAGTCACAGAATCTGCTGTCATATCTGGCGGGACCAGAAAACCCAGCTCAGAGAGACTCTTGAGCAACATCACCATCGTCTCAGAGAGGGCCCCGAGGAATTCCGTTCGGTGTAAGCGTACACCTGACACTGCTTTCTACTCACATTATTCCCACAGCCACGTGTCTTGCCAAACCTAAGCACCTAGCGGCAGAAGACTAATTGAAAACACAAAATTTACGGTATGGCGGAGTCCCCATTCTCTACTCGGATATAAGAGATACCTCTGATGACATGCCAAGTCCAACCAGTACCGCGTAGACCCTCCAGCCAAGAGGCTACGGATTGGGGAAGGATGGACACAGCAAGGCGCTGTTCGGTCCTGAGAACAATGATGACGACGACGACATCGGGTTTGCCTCCAATTCGTCTTCCAAGCCATCCGTACATGTACCCACCGACTTCTACCTACACACACCCTTCGTGAATGGGAGAAACGAGCTGGCGACGCACGAGGTTGAGGCTATGCTTCCAAGGCACGTTACGGGGAAGCGCCGGTACCTGTCCCACCAGATTCTCCGTAGAGACCGACCCTTCCCTCTCCGCCTACTCCTGCCTCCTGGTTCACCAAAGGAAACCAGCAGGCAGACACCATCTTCCGTCTGCAATTGTATCTCGGCCCGGTTCTGCACAGAACGGTGAATGCAGAAACACACTTCGCTTCCCAGCCCCCATCACACAAGAACCCAACCTACAGATGTCGCATGCATAGCAAAACCCGCAAAAACGACATCGTTCCGTCCTGCGAGGCCGCGAGGCCCGCGAATGGTGCCGTTCTAGCGTCACGCATCTCCCGCTGGCCGTGCTCTCTCTCTCTCTCCCCCCCATCTTGTCTCCGGCCTCGAAACCCACCACCAACTAGCGCGCCCGGGCTTTTTCTCCCTCCGGGGGCGGGCGGAGCGCCGAGTCTACTTGTAGAGAGGGGCATCCGAGTGTCAGCAAGCTGCAGATACACACGGACGGACGGACCCGTCTCTGTTCCTTTCTTTTTACTCCCTGGTTCTCAGTGAACGCAGACTGACTCTCCACGGTCTCCATCAACGATCGGGCCGCTGTCGTGACCAATGTTTCTCGGTGTTCAAGAGAGCAGCTGAGTCTCGGTGGCAAAAGGGTAGCTTCGTCAACTACGAATACTGTACCAGCAGGCACACCCTTCTTTGACTTTGATCATACCCTTCAAGCTGACCCGTTGGTCGGTGGGAACCATGTATCAAGTTTCAGAATGGGTTTGCCCACTCGTCATCAAGATGTCAAGCTAAGTCCGATATCATGCCGGGCTTGTGAGGCATGTGGCGTGGCACGCGATGAATAGGCAATGTATGTTTCCATGTTTTTTTTCCTCTTTGGGATTTGGGCTCGAAAATATTTCAAAATATGGTTCGCTATATGGCAAAAAACAAGAAGCAATAACCCTAGAAAAGCTATTCATGGGGGTTTCCAGGCGGGACGGTACATCAAACCGATCGGTTCGTACCTACATCCATCCTCCTCTGTTCATA